CTGACTGAATTAACTGTTTATATAAATATGGAAGTAAATAGCTAGAAAGTAGATACCATAATTCACTGAAGAATATATAATGTATTTGTAGCATAATAGATATAGCGAGCGAGACGACTGAAACTACCTTCATTTGGGAAAGCCAGATGAGGGTTGCAAATTGAATTGTAAAATGACCCAAATGGTCGAACATGACTATGAATAACTTAAAATTAAAAGTGACAAATTTGCAAACTATTTAAAATTTTATATCTAGCTATACTTGTTGTAAAAGTNTCATTCGAACAAAAAATTTTAACAGAAAATTTAGAGTGATTAAAAGTAGTTTTTGACTGAAATTATTTACTGAACACTGAATTTATGAACTGTACATAAAGAAACCAGAAGACAAACTGATATAAAATCTAAATTAATTCATCTAATAGACAAAACACACCAAACCGCTTGCGACCTATATGATTCCAAGAACCAAACTGCTTACAACAGTGTTTTCATCAATCTGGTACATTTAGCTACATTTGTCATTTTCAAATTTTTTTTAAGTGTTATTCATACATTGAAAACCGATATTTTCTACTAAAAAACCGGTTTTCGAATTTCATAATTTTCTCAAAAAAAAATGTTTTTAAAAACCGACAAACCCTAATCTAAACCTCTAGGTCATGTTGTTGAGTGATGAGGGACCAATTGGCCATATGCTTCTAAAATCGCCTATTTATTCCATCACTCTATTTTAATGTTAATACTTACTTACTTTTTTAAGTTATGAAGACATCAGTTCCAAATAATTCGGTGTAAGCAAAATTATTGTATCTTTGCACATAGCGATTTCTTACAGTTAACTCCTTGAACAACTTTTCAAAGAATTTAATTTCCTACAAAAGGATCTGTAGCGGAACTTTACTGATAAAATTATAATGAAGTATTACATGTTTGGTATAACACAATCATTTATGGAACATGGACCTGAATTAATAAGGAAAAGTAACATTTCTTCGATACAGAGTGGTGTGCATGATAATAGCTATCATAATGAAATAAACACAAGCATGTTAAACTACGCGTGTACCTGAAGCACAAAACAAGACGGTGAGGTCGAATAAACGATTTCATTTTATGTTTATCGATGTAAATGAATCTACTGTTGCCTTCTATACAACGAAGAAGTTTTCAGACTGTAACTAACTAAAAAAAAAAAAAGGAATATGTAATTTATATGAACATAAGGATCTTAGGTGGTTCCGTGCATATAATCGAACGTAACTGTCTGCAGGAAACTATTACCTAGTCAACACGCAAAAGAAGTTTTATTATTTTTGTGAAAGTAGAGTATTGTTTACAATAAAAAAATATCCAAACTGGCAATGAAATAAGTCAACGTTGTTCTTATTTATTACAGTACGTACATATTAATAACATACTTTTCAATTTGTGATAATGCAATAATCCTTACATGTGAGTAAGTTCGCTTTTTAAAATAGGTCAAAAGGCAATAATAAATCAAATATGCATATAATAAAACTATTTCTATTCATTACCACAAACTACTTGAATCTCCAAAGAAGTACATCAAAAAAATCGCATGTTCATTTGAATTCATGAAATCAGAAAAATTATAAATAAACTCAACAATTTGCCTAAAATTAAACATACGGGGTCTGTTCTCAAAGTAGCGCGCTTTTTATTGTTTTTTCAAAAATTATTTATTAGTAGTAGTAATCCCCACCAGATATTATATACCTACTTGTGCCAACATATTTTCCAATCCTCGAAGTACTTCAAAACTCCTCCTTCGATGCTGTTTTTATCTCCTCAATCGTAGCATAGCGTCGTCCTTTCAAGGACGTCTTCAGTTCCGGGAACAAGAAAAAGTTACAGGGGGCTATATCTGGGGATTACCAGTGTGTTGTTTTTGACCAAAAATTCGCTCACATGCAATGATGTGTAAGCAGACGCGTTATCATGGTGTAAAAGCTATTTATGAAGTGAAACTTCTTTACGCACGGTAGGGTAAGTTTGTTTCATGCGAGTTGCTATGTAACGAAATCATGCAACGCATTTCCCCCGCGGTCTGTCCCTATGTATGCTTAAATCTTTAAAACTACGTAACGGATTTTAATGCGTTTTTATTTAAATAGATAGAGTAATTCAAGAGATAGGTTTATATGTATAATACATGCATAATATAGTAGCGAAACACTGATAATTTGAGAGGTTTGTAATATGATGTCGTAAATAAACACATTTTTTGCGCTTACATTGCAAACGCTGGCTGAACCCTACGAGATAGATCAAGATAATATACTACAGTATTGTACACCTTAAAAAGGTCTACAAAAAAGTCCGAGATGGTATATGTCTATCTCTTAGGGATAGCCCACAATAACCACTTTTTATCCTCTACCTGTATGAGAAATAATGGCTTATTTACAAAGTGATTTTAAGCAATACAGCATTAATCCTTATCCAATTATGTACCTTAAATAGATTGTGCATTTAATATATATCAATATGGCCCTTTACAGCATGTAATTTAAATGAATATTTTCCAAGATATTACAGACAGACTTAAAATGCAGGGACATAGCGGTTACGGCGGTCCAGCCGGTTTGTATTGTCTAATGACAAAAAAGCTGTGATTGTTATAAATAGAGACATTCTATAGTGTAGTTACTATCAGCATTGCACCCGTGCGAAGCATAGTGTACAAATAATACCATTAAACCAATTCCTTAACCCCTATCTCGGTATGTTTGTGTGTTTGAAAAAGCTTCACTTCAGTAGCGTGTTGTATAATTACACGTTGTTTTTTTTTTGTTCTTCCACCAATTCGGGCGTTTCTGGCGGATTGCTTCACGAAAATTGCGCATAACTTGCAGGTAATATTCCTTATTGACTGTTGATGCACCACACCCCTGCAATCGAAAAAAACTATAAGCAAAACCTTCACGTTCGACGTAACTTGGCGCGCTTTTTTCGGTTTTGTCTCGTGAGGCAGCTTCCATTGGGATGATTGAGCTTTGGTTTCCACATCAAAACCATAAATTTGATTCGATACCAAGTATGATCTCTGAAACAAATTTGGGCCGTCGCGGACAGCTCCTTAGCAATGTTAAAGCGATACTATTTTTGGTCGAAATTGAACAATTTTGATACGAATTTCGTGGCAACAGCCAGATTCTCATCGACTTCTCTAACTGTAATTCAACGATTGGCCAATACTATTTTCTTCACTTCATCATGTTATTGGACGTGATCGAATATATTTAACCAGCGGAAATTCAAAATTCACGATACTTTTTGAACAAACTTCGTACTTTAGATCCGAAATCCTCTTGGACGAAGTTAGTTTTTGGTATAAATATACACCTAAATTGGGTTGTAATTATAAAAAAAGGATTTACAAATTGCACAACATCCTGCGAGACCATTTACTACATCGTTACCTTATCAATTACGTTTTTATAAGTACTGAAACTTCTGTTACATTAACCATCAATTAGGTAAAGAAGTTAAAATTATGTCGGCTCGGTTTGATTATAACACGCTTGTTTTCTTGTTGAGCACCGTCGAGCAGTAGAATGGAAAACTGCGGCATTCTTTTAAAAGAATACGCAACGAAAACGGTTGGTGCGGTTACATCAGAATAATATTTACGCTGAATGCATGTTGTACTTTTCAAAATTCTTACTACAAATTATCATGTGCACCGAATTAACAGTTAGCATTCCTAAGTACTTAAGGCTAATGAATAATTATCATTATTTTATGTGTCTACCTTTGTATATATGTACCTACAAATGTCTAAAGTGTATGAGTTATGTGCAATTGAATGAGTTGGTACCTAATGATGAACTTATTAATGTACTAAATATAAAACCAATACATTTGCAAGAGAATGAAAGTAAAGGAAATAATTAAGTACTCAACCGTGAGGGTACAGTTAAATAATATCGATGAATTTGATTCATGAATATTGCAGTTAATTTTTTATTATTTTATTAAGAAATATTTCAAGAAATCAGCACGATTAAATGAGAGGTACAGATACACATCTACAGTAGAATCCGCTTATAATGACATCTAAGAGAAATAACAAGCGGGCGTCATACAAAGCATAGTCTTAGAAAATAAACAACTTCCTAGTTTAATAGAGAGAAAAACTACAAATTGTATATATTTATTAACAGAAAAAGAAAAACAACGATGAACTGTAATATCAATATACATAGAAAGGGTCACACAAATGAACGAAAATGTTATTATTAATCATATGAGTCACTATAGCCGGATATGATTTCTTGAGAATCAGTCATAATAAACGATATGTCATTTTAAACGGAGTCATTATATCCAAACTTTCCTACAGAGAATTTTATATGAAAACCAAACCACTGCAATTAAGCGGTTGGTCGATATATAGATCATTAAATGTGTACTTTTAAAAAAATATAATTATCTTAATAGAAATAAATAGAGCTTTGACTTTTACTATTTTCTTTTCAAGTCCTCAGACTTTACACCAACGTAAAAATAATTAGAAAAAACTTTTCCTTGTCCTTATTGATATTGCTTATTTGTCGACGTGGTAAACAAGTGACATAAAAATGTGTAATTATTTTTCCTTGACCTTACTGTTACAAATATAAGATTCTTCTATGTCTGATGGAAATGTATACAAGACTTTACAAGACTTATCGCTTTATTTTGGAATAATAATTAATTTAGTAATGTTATCAAATATTCAAGGAAAAGTCGTTGAATCTATTTGATGACAGTTATTATTACTTCATTTTTCAAATTAAATTGCAATAAATACCCATTCAAACGGCTTGTACACATCATATAGTTACTAAAACCGACTGTATTTGATCAAAAATTGTGCATGATTTTAAATAAAGAAATATATGTCATCTCACAATATACAAAGAAAGAAACAAATGCCCTCATCTGTAGCTCTTTTGTCTCTGTTTTTAAAAATGTTTTTTGTTTTGTTTCAGGTTGAATCGGGCGAGTTAAATTTAACTTTTCCTCTGATGTTGAATCCGTTCACATGGGAAATCCACGCGTTTCCAGTTTTCTTCGGTGGAACTGAAGTGAGCGAAGACAATTTCATTGTAAGCGTCCCATCTGTGCAGCTTGTTTATTTCGGAAATGCGGACTCAACTAAACGAGATAGACAGTAAGTTCATTAAAATAAAAATCGTATTAAAGGAAAATTTAACGTTTCTCTTATAAAATTGACAAAGTGCTGCAGCTAAGGACAATAGTATTGAACAATGATGAATTTAAAATTAAGTTTCTTTTCTTTAACACTTCCTTAGCCAAAACAAACAACATGCTGAATAATTCCGGCGGATAATGCCTAGTTCCCTCCCATATACCTGTTTTTAATTAGGGTTAAAATTTTCGGTGTGTCGAATTCCCTCCTAATTATTTATCAATTGCCTCCCAATGGCGGCGGACCTTAAGTGCTAATTACCACTATAAAATCATAAAGAGTTGTTTAAATAATACAGCCTCACATCACATATTAATCTTAATATTATTCATATATTATAGACACCACAATAACAATAATAATTTTATCAGACTACCCTTCTATTGGTCAAATACAAGACAAACTAAAACTAATAAAGTTTTTCTGGATGATTGCATCAAAAAGCTAGACGCACACGAATTTCCAAACATTGAATTTGTTAAGGTAGTGGGAAACCATTTTAAAATTAAATAAATAAACATTTCATAACTGATATGTGTTTTCTTTCTGAAATTATTTTATCTTTAATTTACTGAAGTACTGAAGTGCACTATAAATATATATTTATTTTCGATAAATAAAATCGGTAAGTAGTCGTTA